GAGAGGGGGATGGAAATGGTAATACTGCAAATGACAATCACCACGCCTTGGTCGCTCGAAAGTTGTGTGTCAGCAGGCGACCTGTTGGAACACACTGACACTAGGGACGTCATATCCGTAAGGAAGAACCCTTTTCAGCCACTGTTCCGATAGAACAGATAAATCAAAACTACACCGCAAAGAAGGGACGGAAACGACACACCAGCCAGCGAGCGACACGTCCACGTTCAATAGCTACCATTGACTCGTATTTGGGAAGTTTGAGCATATTTACTGCAATTTACGAGAACTAACTACTGCATAAGGTTGGGTTTAATTTGAGAGAAATATATTATTGTATAGCAAATGAAAACAAACGGGCGATATCTGCTAGACGTACACTATCAACCAATATGACGTCACACTTTAACGACAGTGACACGCGTCATATTAGTTGGAATACTGTCTTTAAATAGGTGACTTGCAGCGACACCTTTGCTCCGCGTAGGAAGCAGCTGTGCGCTAAGTGTGCGCTGTGCAGGGCAGATCTTATCACATTGTGCCCTTAAACCGGCCCGCGCTTAACGAGGTAGCCAACCGTCTAGTTCGTTTACGGACGGCGAATTGCAGAGAGCGTATTCCTACTATTGCACGCTGGGGTGTGTGTAACATTTAAAGGAGGGTGAAACGCAGACCAACCGCTCACCACTACAAAGCGGACAGTTTGGGGCAGGCCAGGCCGTGACAAGCAAGGTGGACGCGTTGTCCTGAGATGTACGCACTCCACGTCACCACTCCCCACCCCGAAACCACTCCCCGGTCCTAGCCACAGTAAAGGGAACGAAGTAAATAATTAAAGAAAAAAAAATGCAACAAAAAATACGTCACTATTTTTCTGCTACGTCTCCCGAAAGGTAGAATGTTGCTTAACTAATTTTTATTACACAGGGGGTCTAAAGCTAAACTTTTACTGTAATGTTGTAAAACAAAACGACAGTATTATTGATGCATTTTAACAGGCTAAACATTTCAAGTGCAAGTCAGGTTTAAAGTCATGGTCGCACTCATATTGCATCATATAGACGCGTTGAGAGGTTTCCAGGTTGAAAACAGGTCCAAAAATCAGATGCACTGGCGTTATGTACCCGCCGCCCTAAAAAGGTCTTGATTCCCCTTTTTCCAACTTTAAAATGACTGCAGGATGGCCAGGACAACTTTGCCAACGCGTGTGCAGGCGTTCCCATACCCCGCCCTACCCCAAGCCTCCCCGCCCCGCTCCACCAAAAACGAACGCCAAGATCCCCGATGAGTCCACGACCTGCCCCACCACGCCCATCCCGAAACCAAACGTGTCTGTATGTATATATATACTGAACGGACACTCGGCACAGTCACACTCAACAGTCAGGCAGCACAGGAGCAGCATCATGGCATTCAAGGTAGGGAGCGAATGCGAATGTCTCACAGGAGGTTTTTACAAAATTACGGAAGCTATTGCTGCCAAACATTTTAACTTCATTCTAAATTTTAATGTGCAATTACTATGTAAAAAAGCTATTCAGATCAGTGCAAATTTAAGGTTATATTTCTAACATTATCCTGAACGATTTGAAAGGAAACAATCTGAGAATTTGAACAAATATGAAAAATATTGTGTAATTTTACTCGTTTATGAAAATCAAGATAGCAGTGTATTGTATAAAGTTACTAAGCAGCACCGCCAAAAGGCTACTAATCATTTACTTTGGTTTGCCTATTGTTTGCAGTTCGTCATCCTCGCCGCCTTCGTGGCCGTCGCCCAGGCTGGTCTCCTGCCCGCCGCCCCCCTGGCCTACTCTGCCCCTATCGCCAAGGCCGTGGCTGTGGACACCGACTTTGACCCCAACCCTAGCTACAGTTACGCCTACGACATCCAGGATGGTCTGACTGGCGACTCCAAGAACCAGCAGGAGACCCGCCAGGGTGACGTCGTCCAGGGCCAGTACTCCCTCAACGACGCTGACGGCACCCGCCGCATCGTCGACTACACCGCCGACCCCGTCAACGGTTTCAACGCCGTCGTCCGCAAGGAGCCCCTGACTGTCGCCGCCCCAGTCGTCAAGGCCATTGCTCCCGCCCCTGTCGCATACGCCGCGCCCATCGCTAAGACCATCGCCCCAGCTTACCAGACCTACGCTGCCCCTATCGCCCACGCTGCTCCCCTTGCCTACTCCGCCTCTCTGAACTACGCCGCCCCCATCGCCAAGGTCGCTGCTCCGTTGGCGTACTCTGCTCCTCTGAACTACGCCAAGGCCATCGCCCCCGCCTACCAGACCTACTCCGCCCCCATCGCCCACGCTGCTCCCCTCGCCTACTCTGCCCCTATCGCTCACGGCATTGCCGCCCACACCTCTTTCTCCACCCCTTACGCAGCGTATGCTTACTAGGCTGCACACTGGCTGTTTGTTGTGTTTTTTTTCTCGTAATAAAAAAGATAAATAACTGATTTCTTTGTATCATGTGACTTTTTCCTGATTTATTGCAAGAATTCGGTCCGCATCGATATGATTCTTTTAACTCTTTGAGAATAATGGCTGTCTATAGTTCGGAAAAAAGACGGAGAGTAATGAGTCACTTGCAATACAGTGGGGTTATTATGGCCGACGTACTCTGCTCCTATACTTGCACCAGGCTATAGTAATACACTGGTTAAAAATTATTTTAGTTTGGCACGTTAGTTGGTGTATAGGTTTAAATTAGCAAAGTTTAGAATTACTGAGGAGTCTTCTAAGAGGGTAGGGGTAGGATCCTCCACTAGCCAACTCGTCGAACACTTGCCCACACCAATATCACGTCCATTACGCCATAACTCGCAAAAACTCGCAAAAACTCGCAAAACCTCGCGAAAATTCGCACAAACATCGCGCGAAACTCTAAAAATATGATGAAGCTGGATAGCTGACCCTGATGTTGAACTCTTCTAAGTGTTCAATTTTTAACACTATTCAAAAATCCAGTCAAACACTTAAAAGTGTGCAACATAGTATTGAGAACTTGCATGTGCACAGTGGAACACTTTATCAGTATAACAAATAAAGCATTAAGGTCTGACTGTGAAGTAGACCATACGTCAATTGGTGTGCAAACGTTCGTCACATCCGAAACGTATAGCAGCTGCACACCAGCTTGTCCCTCTTCTATGCTATCATTGAACTGTGTATTTTCAAATGTGCAAAATTTCAATGTTAAGGTGGCAGACCTGTGAAATGTAAGGGTTTGAAAGAATCGTCACTTCACAAAAACGACACGCCGCATCGATTTAGGATTAATGATGTATTAAGAGCATAGACGGACGCTAATTTTGCCCTTGGTGCCAGTACGCACTCTCTCCAGGAACATGCCGATCTTCGCGTTCAATTGGAACGATGCAGTCCTTCTCGGCGTGCACGATTGCAGCGCAACGGATGGGTCTGCGACGGTCAAAAAAATTGCTAGTTACTCTTAAAAGATGCCCCTAGTGTTTGACCTGGGGGTTTAGCAAATTTCGAAATGGCAGTACTCGAAAAGACTCACAATGGACAAAACAAATTTTTCAATTATTTTTTCGTATTTTAGCTATATGATTTTATTCGAGTACTTCCATCTCGAAATTTGCAAAACCCCCAGGTCAACCACTAGGGGCGTCTTATTAGAGTTAGTAGCAACCACTAGTGGCCTCTTTTTAGAGTTAGTAGCAATTTTGTTGACAATCGCAGACCAATCCGTTGCAGCACAATCGTGCACACCAAACAGACTGCATCATCCATTTGCAGGTGAAGATGGGCATATTCCTGGAGAGTCCGCGCACCGGCGCCAACGGCAAAAGTAGCGTCCACACTGTAAATTGCTTACGAACAATAGGTTCGTAATGCAAACCAATACGTTCGTAGCTTTCGAAGAATTTTGAAGCGTTGTATTGCGCACTAATTGTTCGTAAGCTTACGAAAAACTAGTTCGTAATGCAAACCGATTGTTCCTAAGACCCTGTCTAGCCTTACAAACAATCGCTTTGCAATACGAGCAATTTCTTTGCAATACTAAGAACGAAAATTGTTCGTAACGTTGCAAAGTATTTAGTTCGTAAGCTGTTTACAGTGCATCTATGCTCTAAATACACATTTAATCCTAAATTAATGCGGCGTGTAGTATTTACGTAGTAGCTATTTTTCCAAACCCTTCAATTCACAGGTCTGCCCTCTTAAAGGAACGCATAAATGTTGCTATCGCGCAAGTGTGCGACGTCAGTTAGACACCATGCAATGTATAAAGGCATGATCTGCCAAAGTTGATATGCGAATTACGCATACTTGTATTAAAAAACATTTTTGTCCTAAAAGAGCAACGTTTACATGCTCATACAGCCCGAAATCAATTCCTGAAACTGGGCAAATTGTGTAAAGTTTTACAATATCTAGAAAGTCAGGAAAAATTTGCATCCTATCTAGATGTGCACTATAACAAATGTGTCCTTTTACAGTATTTAGAGCGTAAACAACCGCAAAAAGGCTCATTCCTCGAAACAGGTCAGTCACATGCATATGTGTTTTTCGACCGGGGTCTAGTTTTGCGAGGATACTTTCACGTTCTCCTTGCCCGCCAACACAACCCAAAGTCTACCGTCGACCAGTTTGCTCTAATGTTGCTCGAATAAGTTGTGACACAGCTGCTTCACCAAGTAGTAGTTCCGCGTAGAAAAAGTAATCGTACGAAGCAAAGAAATCTACAGTGCCGGTATTTTGAAAGGGTTTGCAAAGAAAGCACAACGCCATTTCGGAGAACTCGGAAAGAACAACAGCACGAATAACAAAAAGGTTTTGCGTAGTAGGCAGGCGTAGATACCGACCGCTCCGCACAGCTATGTGTGTTGGGCGCGTTTTGCCTAATTTTCTGGCAACACTGAATATAAGTGGACAGGAATCACTGGGAATCACTGGGAGTCAAGTATTTCGGGAATCATGTGTACACACCAAAAGAGAATTATTGCCCCCTCGGTTATTTTAAACGAACACTAGTATTAACGATGGGCCCCCTACAGCTCTGCCACAAGACTAGACATGGAGTCACGGCCCTACTGGACCATAAGCGTCCATGACAATCACATAACGATGGCCAGAAATGTATAAACAAACAAAAAAAAGCAATGCCGATATTACAAAATATGAGAACTATTTTATTCACCACGTTTTGTACAGCGGTAGTAACATAGGATTAAAACAAAACAAGTCAAAAAACACGTTTTCATATTAAAATCAGTCTGTAGATATCCCCTACAAGCGTAGACGCCATTCCGTAGGGTGGCAGATCACATGTGGTTGTAAAATGAAAGTCTATTGTTACTCTAGTATGCGTACGCTGCGTAAGGGGTGGAGAAAGT